AAAACCAGTAGATTAATTTAAACATATTCTATTTTACTGACATATGTACTGTTGTCACCTCTTCTGCTTTTTCTTCTGTCGTTTCTGCTTTTTACATTTTTTGTCTTTTATATTTTCAATCGAGACTTTCAATATTTTAACTGATCATTTTGTCAAAATAATCATTTAACACAAAGTCAGATTGTAAGATCTTATCTTGAAGGTGAGTCTGTGTGTTCTCTTTAGATCAACAAGGGACACTCGCACCCTCACTACGTGATCCGTGGCTAAGGAAGTATTTGTTTTCATTGCGACTGTAGTATAACACAGATTGTTCTTTCAGGAATATAAGCTTGCTATAACCTGCTATTACTCATTCACAAGGATATTATGTACGCATCATAGTTTTATTTGTACTAAAAACTTGGTGAAAGATACCGAAGGCTGTATAGGTGAGATAAATAAGACTACAACCTCACCCACACCCTTATAAAATAAATAAATGATTCCAAGTAGTTTTATGACGTGAGTATAGCTAAAGAAGATTCTACTCTTGAAGTTGAAGTGCGTTTGAAAGTACATATGGAGAAGTTTCGGAATGGTTCAATTGTTCTTTCGTTCTTCGGTGACAAAGTTTCCAATACGATGTGACTTTTTTTCCAATTGATGTCAAATAAAAATGAGCCGAATAGACAGTCGATGATCTTACATAAATAAGGAAACTGAACATTTGAGGAGCGAATGAAATAAGAAATGATATGATAAACGGACATCTTATAGCCACAGGACTAAAGTCGCGACAAATTATTACATTTGAAATGATTATTTGTGGTAAACAAAATAATTGAGGTAAGATTGTTATTGCTGGACCACAGATCAATTCGATATTCTCGTGAATAATCGTTCGAAAAAAATTCCATTGAACTTTTGCTTTCATGTACCATCCTATTCTTTGATCAATATCATCAATATTCGAACGAACTGGATGTGCTATAGAAATATTCTTAGTAATTAGAAGAATTGAGCACATTCTAACTTACTCGATTCATTTTCAGCAGAAACTAGAAATAAGGCAATGCTCAGTTTAACAGTATTTTCAAACAAAACTTTCTTACCTTTGGTTTCATTTGTCTCTAATGCAGTTTGAATGTTCGTTGTTGTTATAGGTACACTGGGATCTACAATACGTTTATGATAGAAAAAGGGGGAAATATCAACTCGGAACGGTGGATATACCGGGCTTTCGTAACCCGAAAGCCCTGTCATTTTTTTTCAACAGGACTTTCGTACCTGAGTTTAACTGGGCTTTCGTATCGATTTTGACAGGGCTTTCATATCGAGTTTTAACGGGGCTTTTATACCGGAATTTAACAGGGCTTTCGCATCGGTTTTAACAGGGCATTCGTAACGAATTTTTTATTGTATTGATACGTAAGCTAAAAGACTAATACTCCATAAGAAAACAAGGTATTCGTTGCGAATACTCTTGAGAGTATATATATATATATATATATGTATATATGTTTAGTTAGTAAGTACGATCCATTCGTAACATCTACTATTAGTAATGGTTTGAATATCTTTTACTGTCTCGTAAATTAATCATCCATATATCCCCATAGATGTCATTGTTATTTTCTAATCTCAATAGAGGATTACATCATAATAAACAATGGAGCAACAGATAAACCATTGGTAAACAAATACATTTTTTCTTTCTTTCCTTTGTGAAAAAAATGTATTCTTTGATAAATCAATATCACTAAAAGTATTGATGATGAAATCAATGGAAAAATTCTCCAGTAATCGTGTTACTCAAGTATCAAAACCTCTTGTTAATAGTATTTAATTTGAGATAATATTAACAATTTTGGCTTTACGATAACCCTGTACGAGCGGTACGAAGACCCTGCAAAAAAACGATACGAAGGTCCTGTAAAATGTATAGGTACACTTTGTCAATACGATACGAAAGCCCTGTATATTTGTGATACGAAAGCCCTGTCAAAACTGATACGATATCCCTGTAAAATCGATAAGAAAGTGCACTAAGTTTTAATTACGAAAGCCCTGTCAATAAGGCGATACGAAAGCCCAGTAAAACTTAAAAAAACACTGGGCTTTCGTAACCGATCGTTCCGAGATGATACTTTCTCAGAAAAAGATAATCGAATAAAGTGAAATTAGAGGAGGAGGAGGAGTATTATCTTCATATTTTGTTCACACTCACTTACTTGATTTTCGGTTAGCCAATAGTTTTTGTTTAGCAATCAAACACATGATACCCGTAGTACAAAATATATTGATTAAAAGTGGTAAAATAGTATTGATGCAATTGTTAACCAAATTGAGATACATCCAAAATGGATGAGAATAAAAGATAACACATATTGAACTGTTCTTAGTTGTTTCCGTATCAATGATTGAAGTATAAAAGTGAATTTGTGGTGCATTGATGAGTAATATGGTAGTGGTCAAAACGACCATAATCCACCGAGCAACGCGAGGCTTTTTCAACCATGTTCCTCTAATACGCCATGTAATATACAGACGCTCAATGGCTACTGTGCTCATCAACCAATAAGATAGTTGACTTGAGCTAGTCAAAGCAAAAGGCAATGCTTTACATAGTATCTTGTTGGTTGTGATATTTATTGTTGCCATGGATCCAGCTATACTCAATACCATATGAATAATTTGAATAACAAGAAAAAACAAGGTCAACTGATTAACTACACTTCCAACCAAAAGATAATTGCCAACACCACTCCTCAGAAGTTTCGATCGATAGAAAGTCACAAATGTAAAGAGATTGTTAAAAGCACCAATAATGAAAAAAATACATGGAACAATAATAGCACTATGGAAAGTTGCCTGCTGTGTGGTTGTCGAGATCGATAATAAACCATGCTTGAGGACTTGTCCAAGAGTAAAAGAATAGTGTTCTGAACTATATTGACATTGACGACCGTAGTGACACGCCGGACATAGACATAGATAGTCGTTCTTTTGATTTGAATCTCCTTGAACACATCGTCCATTAGAGAAACACTGGTCACATTGATCAGATTTATGATTATAACCAAAACATTCAGTTCGAGAACGATCGACTTCGCAAAAGCACAGATATTGATCGTCGAAGAAACATAAGAGATCCGGGTAAGACGAGTTATCATGACATATGTTGTGATATTGATATACTAGAAACGAGAGGAAAAATTACAGAATGTGAAAAATATTTTATAATCCAAACCTGATATATTCATGGGAATATCTTTAATATTCAAACATGTGTTTGTATCTTCTAAAGAAGCTGATGAATTGATTAACTTTTTCCTGATCATCAGAGATAGAAGAAAGATTTTCGGATATTTATCCTTTCCATTTGAGTAACTTCTTACAAGTATGATATCCGGAGCCCAATTTCCTGCATATTCGTAACGAAGACGTTTAGATAATTGTTTATTTACTACTTGATGTTTAAGAATAAGATCTAATGTTTTAAAGTTAATATCCAAATATTGTATCACGAATATTCCACTGACATTATTTGGTGAAATCTTAATATCAATGTCTTTCGTTTTTAACTCACATTTGTCACCATAGTATCTCTCATCACAAGCACACTTAGTTTTGTTGAGATCACTCGTACTGGAATAACAAGTACCATTATTTTTACAAGGATTGTTCCAACATTGATCCAAAACTAAACCACATCTGCTTCCATACATATTCAGAGGACAAAGACAATAAGGCAAACGAGTACCTGCAGTTTTACCCAAATAGGTTGGTTTACACAACGATTTTGAATGGCAAAAGTTCTTAGCGCAATTTTCATCTAGAATCGAGCAATTTTCACCAGAGTATTTAGATTTACAAAGACAGATGAATTTTGTCGGATCATTCTGAAGAATATGACATTCAGCATTCGAAGAATTACATGGATTTGATTGGCAGAGCGAGTGGGATAAGTTGTTATGAAAACGTAGTGCTTTCGCAATTCGAAATGATGGGAGAAAGTCAAAATATATAGGATATTGCCATACACCGACTAAATGTATTGAACTATTCGCTGCCAATTCATAAGCTTCATATCGGAGATAGTAAGGAGTATGTTTTGTAATCGATGTACGATTTGATCTACGACGAATCTTCGCTTGAAGGAGATGTTTTTCTCTGGAATAGATTAAATGACATCGTTTCTTGATAATACGATGAAAATTGTCAACGGATCGAAAGTGAAATTGACGATTGTGAAGAATTTCATTTTCATAGACGAGAAGTGCGAGTAATTTGATTGTAATATTTGAATCTATTGTTATTTCTACAAAACGAGAATGTGAAACGTTTAGATGAGTATAGGTTGTTACTCGATCACTATGATATTCACAATATTGACCATAATATGTTGGAGGACAGAAACAAACGATTTTGTTTGTGTACTCTAAAACAGCTACTCCACGATTACAAATCATTGGGACAATATTATTAGGTACGTTAACAGGGGTATTTCGTTTGACAATAGACTTTGCTTTTCCTATAGTAGTGATATTTGTTACACTGTTTGGAAGTGGGTACATTCGTAATTCACCTAAACGTATGTTTCTAAATTGATTTTGCTGTTTCAAGATTCGATACGATCTTAAATTGTTTTGCGAATTGCACCAATACTCATCTTCTCCATACTCACAGTCGATGTATCCATTACAGCGACCCTTCTTTGCACAAGTTCCATTGATACAGACGAAGTCTTTTGAATGAGAACAATAATCAATATATTGTTCACATAAAGGTGAAATATCAGGACATTGTTCGATGTTTGTACATAAGTTTTGTTCATCAAAGCACATGTCCGGGTTGGATCGACATTGGAAACTGTGACCCAACTGCTTTAATCCATTGCAGTGTTTTAAAGTATTTCGTTCATCAAATCCACCCAAACAATCAATTGTGTTGTCGCCTATTTGATTAATATTTATACACGGTCGAGTGACGAAGATATCTGATTGTTTTGTAAAGTTGATTAACAAGCATGGATATTCTGTTGAAATGTTACATAGTGCACTAAACGACTTTATTTTGTTACTTGTGTTAGTGGCGCATGTTGTTCGTTTTTTTATTAGATTGACTTTCTGATTATGAATACTTAGATGATCAATGTCAAACAATTCATCAGATGCATCAAAACAGTCCCATTCCCCATCGCAAACATATTCTTGTGATATACAATGTCCACTTCGACATTGAAATTCATTTTGAGGACATCGCCAAGATTGACATAATTCTAGTGATTCATCAGTTCGATCTTGCAGATCCCAAAATGTATTACAATAGGAACGAAATGGTAATTTGGCCTTTTCACTTATTTGATTGTTTTCACCAGAACTATTTCCTGAATTTGAGATATATTCACGTAGGAAAAGACAATCTTCGTCTTCAAATTCTAAACATTTAATCAGAGATAATGATTGTCCTGATCCTAATATAAACTCATCTTCATCTTGATTGCAAGAAGTAATAGAATCACCAAGTGCTTGAACAGTCAAGCATGTAGTTGGCCCGAAAGGACAACGGTAACGATAATCACGAACGTAACCAGTACAAGTATCGATTTGTTCTCGTAATTCATCTTCACCGCTAACACAATCTTTGAAACCATCATTGATGCGATACTGAGAAATACATTGTTCACATACATCGAAAAAAGCATACGATAATTTGTTTTCAAGAGTTTTTGAAACGTTGGCATAGCATAATGAATGGAAATGGGGCCCCGTGGTATTTTTTGAAATGCTTTTATGTCCACAAAACGCACGATCAAGTGCAATATGCCTCAGATCATTAGTGTTCTCCAACCAAATAGATCTATGGACATCTGAATATGCTTCATATCCACGACATCTGATACTTCCTGATAGCGTATAATAGTCAGGTCGTTTCTTGACAGCCCAATCTCGTGTGATATTGTAATGAGCAATTAGATAAGGGGTCAGTAATCCTTTTGATGGATACTGGATCGTCGATGAGCAACTTCCGTTTAGGTATTGACGACAGTCTTGGTTCTTACAACGGCAGTCTTTTCCAGCATTATCCGATAGTACACATTTGACGAGAAACAAGCAATATTCGTGTGTCGTTTGATCAGCCATGCTCTCTTGTTTATAAGATAGATTCATAAGAGGAGCAACTGATGAATGGTAACATGTGCCATTCACCATTGTCCATAATTTGTATTGCTCACTCAGTTCACACATAAACATATACTCACGCATTGAATAACATTGTGAGCTGGGTATAGTTAATTCTTGCCATTCATACCTGTTTCGTTCCTTAATACATTGACCATCTCCACACGACCATTCTGATACTGAACATGCATGGTCATCACAATTGAAAGGATCTGGTTGATAAGCACATCCACTATGATTAAATGGTCGTTGTTCATCGGAATCATCCATACAATCATATTCACCTAGACATAATTATATATCTTTCTCAACTATAAAATGTCATCTGACTTACCGTCTAGAAAATAACTATCTGGGATACACATTCCATTAGAACAACGATATTCATCCTTGTCACATTCATTGAACTCAAGTAGATCACAAGTTTCTTCATCCAATCCATTCATACACTGTTGCCGTCCATCACAAATATCACGCCAATCCAAGCAAAGTAATCCGTGGTCACATATTAATGTTGTATAACATGGATTTTTCTGATAAACATGCATACGAAAACGACTATCTCGTTTTAGTACGTTCTGCATTCTTCGTGCCTCTGAAAATATTGGTCGTGTACCTCCAGGCATAATATAAAGCTGGTATTCACAGTTTTTCCCAAAACTGCGGCTTTTACATTCGCACAAAAAGCTAGAGTTACCATGACCAGATACATAAAAAGAGTATTCTTCAGCTTTTTCAATACTTGATCGAAAGTTATGAATAATCTGACTTGGGGTTCGATTATGACGGTGTAACTCTGCAAAGGACCACGATTTTCCTCCAAATTGACATGAGGATTCATTATTGTTACGACGTAAAGAAATAGGAGAATCAGATCGTCGACAATACGGAGCATCATCTACTATCATACAATCGTAATATTCGACGTTGTCATTATCTTCGGTATTGAACAAATAAATTGATTGTTGATTAGATAGACGAAGTAATATAAGGAAAAAGTAGAGAAACACAACAAACGACATTGTTATATTGGTAAGATTAGAAGCAGCTCGTCGTTTTCAATAAAAAGAGAAATCTGAGCAGAGTCTATGGAACGCGCAGTTATATCAAAGAGACGTGACAACAGATTGACTAGCTCACACCAAGAAATAAGTGCGGAAGATCACGTCCATCATACTAAATACCAGATGTGATATTTGATAATGTGCAAAGCCGACATCAGTCTTTTCAGCACGTTCAATGACAACAAAAATTGTGTAGCTGTCACAATCATGATAATAGGAAAGCATAGCAGTATTATGGGTGACGGTGCAGCTGTGAATATAAAATCTTGAGGGTGTGGTCTGGGTGTGGGTGAGATAAAAGTGAGACACTCACGCATACCCAACTCATTACATGTAACGTGAATGATCTTGAAGGCGTGGGTGTGATTGGGTGATATATATAAAGCTACATCTATACTAACATATCATCTCATCCACACCTACATCTAAACAGTACTACACCCACACATACATGTTCACTCGCACCCACACCCTCAACATGAATGATAATAGAAAAAAATTAAATATTCTGTGTAATCAAAGTATTGATCATGATAAGGTTTAAAAGCCAGGTATTTGAAAATACAATATTTGTGGAATAACAATATTGTAAAGAAATTAACTAATAGTGAATTGTTTTCTTTATTTATAATATATAAAAATTTCTATGATATATGCATATTAAAAAACAAAATGTTAGAAAAGACGTTTGCTTATAATAAAGCATCCTTCCACACAAACCAAGTATAAATATTACATGATTCATTACTCTCAGTTCGAGTCATGTCTCAACTCGATCTTAAAACAAATACTTTCAATTACTTTTTATTTCGCCTGATATTTTTTATTATGATTATATGAATTTTATTGGTAAGCAAGTAGGAA